TATAATAGTACTGTACCAATCTGAACTTTCCTAAATATGAACAATACATTGTGGTTATGAAAAAGGATGTCTGTGTTCTTAGGATATGCACATAGCAGTATGAAAGAGGTGAAACGCCATGATGTCTGCACTTGGTGCCCAGGAAAAAATAATAAGAGAGAGAGAGAGAGATACAGAGATATAAATACAAAAACAGATGATAGACACAGATCATGAATACAGATAGATTAGACAGATACAGAGATATAGATACAAAAACAGATGATAGAGTTAGATGATAGATACAGATAGATGAACACAGATTGACAGATGGATACAGAAATATGGATACAAAAACAGATGATACAGATAGATCAGATAGGTACAGAGATACAGAAGATAGATACAGATAGATGAATACAGATAGAATGAATAGATACAGATACAAAAACAGATGATAGATACAGATGAATACAACTAGACTGATAGAGACATAGATGCAAAAATGGTTGATAGATGAATACAGATCGATCAAATAGAGATACAAAAATAGATACTAGATACAGATAGATGAATACAGATATATCAGACAGATAGATAGACCAATAGATAGACAGATAGAGAGATAGAACAGATAGTTGGATAGCTAATGATGATAGATGATTGATAGCGCACATGTGACACAGTGTTAAAGATAGCCACTTCAGGATGACAGGGACATGGGTGTTCATTGAACCAGTATATTATTTTTGAAGCTCTTCTGCAGACTTGAAATTTTTCAAATTTAATACATCGTGGGAGGCTGGGCGTGATGGATGATTTATAAAGAAAAGAAGTCTAACTGACTCACAGTTCCACATAGGTGGGAAGGCCTCAGGAAACTTGCAATCATGTCAGAAGGTGAAGTCTTACATGGCGGCAGGCAAGAAAGTGAAGGGGAAGTGCCACACTTTTAAACCATCGGAGCTCATGAGAACTCACTCACTATTGCAAGAACAGCAAGGGGGAAATCCACTCCCATAATCCAATCACCTCCTGCCAGGCCCCTTCTCTGACATATGGTGATTACAATTTTAGATTATGAGATTTGGGTGGGGACACAGAGCCAAACCATATCAGGCCTCAATTTACACATCTGTAAAGTGAAGATAACCGCAGCACCTACCCAGTATGATTGTTTTGTGGATTTAATAAAAGAATGCATGTCAGGCACCTTAGCACAGTGCCTGTATATACAAGGGGACTTCAAAAAGTTCACGAATATTGAAGTAAAAGATAAAAATATAAAATAAAAAATTTATTTCTCAACATAAGCTCCATCAGATCATGACTTTTTTTGGTTTTTTGTTTTTTGTTTTGAGAGAGGGTGTGGCTCTGTTGCCCAGGCTGGAGTACAGTGGCGTGATCATGGCTCGCTGCAGCCTCAGTCTGCTGGGTTCAAGCAATCCTCTCACTTTAGCCCCTAGAATAGCTGGTATTACAGTCACATGTCACCATGTCTGTCTAATTAAAAAAAAAAATTGTAGGGACAGAGTCTTACTATGTTGCCCAGGCTGATCTTGAACTCCTGGCTTCAGGTGATCTTTCTGCCTCAGCCTCCCAAAGTGTTGGGATTTTAGGCATGAGCCATTGCACCCATCCAAGATCATGACACTTTTGTAAGTCAGGATACCAGCCATTTAGTCCATCGCTGAAGAACTGAGGGTCCTGGGAATTTAACCATGTCAATGTAGTTTTTTTTACAGTATTAACTGAAGAAAAATGGGCCCCTTGAAGATTTTTTTTAAGGTTAGGACACAAAAAGAAGTCAGAATGTGCAAAATCAGGATGGTAAAGAGGACACCTAATAACTTCCCATCAAAACTCTCCCCAAATCGCCCTTGTTTGATGAGAGCCAGAGTGTTGCTCTCACAGTGGAGAAGGACTTTCTGAGGAAGGTGTCTCAGGTGTTTTTCTGGTTAAAGCTTTAGCTAGCTCTCTCAAAACACCCATCAGCAGCAGATGTTATCATTCTTTGCCCCCCCCAGAAAGTCAACAAGCAAAATGGCTGGAGCATCCCAGAAAACTATTGCCATGACCTTACCCTTGACCAGCCTGCCTTTCCTTCCCCCTCTCGGTATCCATGGCTTCACTTGGGCTTAGTCTTCAGAATCATAATAGTAAAGCCCTGTTCCATCTCATGTTACAATGCTCCCAAGAAATGTTCAGGATCTTGATCTCACTTGTTTAAATTTCCATTGAAAATTCTGCTTTTGTCTGTTAGCTGATTTGGGTGCAAGTTTTATACTCATTGAGTGGCGTTGCTCAACTTTAATTTTTCACTCGGAGTGGTGTAAGCAGAACCAGGGCAGATGTCTATGGTGTTGGCTATTGTTTCTGCTGTTATCAGTCCTCTTCAGTTAGGGCACAACTAAGATTAATTTTCTCCTTGAAAATTGATGTGGATGATCTGCCGCTGTGCACTTCATTTTCAACATTGGCTCACTGCAACCTCCACCTCCCAGGTTCAAGCGATTCTCCCACCTCAGCCTCCCCAGTAGTTAGGACAGGCACGCAACACCATGCCTGGCTAGTCAATATTGTTTTGCCCCTTCTTAAAATGAGATACCTGTTTGTAAACCGCTGATTTATCTGGGGCATTGTCCCCCCAGACTTTTCATAAAGCGTTCATGTTTTCACCATCCTTCCACCCGAGATTTACCATAAACATGATGTTTGTTCTTGCTTCAATCTTAGCAGAATTCATGTTGCTCTCACGGGGTTCCTTTCAAACTGATGTCTTATCCTTCTTCGTGCCTCAAACTAGATCCTGTACAGCCATGTTGTAACAAGTAAGTATGAGCTTATTTTGGTGCAAAAGAATTTTGAGATGCATACACAGTTTGTTTGGGGTGTGTGGGGGTGTGTGGGTGTGTGTGTGTGTGTGTGTGTGTGTGTGTTTGAGACGGAGTCTTGCTCTGTTGCCCAAGCTGGAGTACAATGGCACCATCTCGGCTCACTGCAACCTCCACCTCCCATATTCAAGTGATTCTTGTGCCTCAAACTCCCAAGTAGCTGGGACTACAGGCACATGCCACCATGCCCAGCTAATTTTTGTACTTTTAGTAGAGACGGGATTTCACCATGTTGGCCAGGATGGTCTCAATCTCCTTACTTCAAGTGATCCACCCACCTCGGACACCCAAAATGCTGGGATTACAGGCGTGAGCCACTATACCCAGCTGTGATTTTGTTTTCTGCAAACGTTGTATTATTTGCTTTTGCATGTTGCCGAATATGCAAAATAAATGGTCTCATTCTGCTCATATGACTCTAAGATTGGCTTGTCCCTCTCAACCCTTTGTATGATTCAGCTATGTCAGTGTGATCCACTCCTTTCCACTGATGCATCAGACTTCAGTGTATGGAAAATAGTCACCATGTCCATTTTTCTTTAAAGGGACATTTGCAGGGGTGGTCTTCCGTGGTGGGCTCCTGCAAATAATCATTCTTGCCAGCACAGTGATTCATGCCTATAATCTCAGCACTCTGGAAGGCCAAGGCAAGTGGATCGCTTGAGCTCCTGTTGGCTGATATACAGTGGTTTAGGCCTGCTTCCCTTGGAGTGGAAGATGTTCTACAATGAGTAACAGACCACTGGCTGCAGGGGACTTTTACTGAATCCATGCCCCTAGAAGTAACTCTGTTCTCCTTCCTACTCCTATTCTTCTACTATTGAGGCCTCACTTCTTCTGACTCTGCCATGTGGCAGATAGCTTTAGCCCTGTCTCTTTCTGTTTTCTTTCTTATTATCATCATTGTGGCCTGTAAGTTCTCTCAGCCACCCGCCCCAGGACAGGAGTATTTCTGCCCATGTTGGGTATAATTTTTGTTTCCCTTCAACAGCTGATGTCCCAAAGAAAATTCTGCCCACAGCGTCTCAGGTGTAATTTTTTCTCTGTCCTGAGAAATCAACTTCTAAACAAAAAGGTACCAACTCTTCATAGCCATTTAGGGTGAAAACAAAATAATTGTCTGTTCTGTCAAAAAAAATATTAAGTGTTGTTACGGCCAGTGCTCTGAAGCCCACCCCTATTCAGTTTTTGGCACCACGCTGACTGCTGGGAGGCGGGTGTCACAGCTTAATAAGAACAGACTGGCAGATCTCTTGTCAACTCTGTACGCTCTGGTGGATTCAAAATTCACACCCTGTGGACCTCCTAGTTCATTTGTTTTGCCATTCTCCAACATTCCCAAGGCCACTGGACGTCAGGTGTCATTTAAGAGAAGACCACGCCCGAGCGGCACTAAGCCTATACAAGGCCTATTACGAGCCCCTCTACGGCTTCTTAAGAAAATTCTATCCTCACCCTTGACCCCTCCCACCTGTTCCCCTGGCCCGTACAAAAGACAGACCCATCAAATTAATTGTACTTTCCCTACAAAATTTAGCTGTAAAGGCACTTTTAAAACTGGCGCTGGAAAGGGCAAAACACAAGTATAATGCCTGCCAAAATGAAAAATACTATAAAAACCACAAAACCCGAGTTACTATCGGGAAAGAAAGACCCAAAAAAGAGAGAGGAGTCAGAGACAGAGAGAGAGAGAGAGAGAGAGAGAACAAGAAAGTAGAAGGGAAGAGGAGAGAGAGGAGACAGAAAAGAGAAAGAGAGAGAAAGTAGACAGAGAAGAGCGGAGAAAGAGGGGAGAGGAGGGAGAGACAGAGAAAGTAGAGAGAGAAAGAGACAGAGAGGAGAGGCAAAAAGAGAGCGAGAGAGCAAAAAGAGAGAGAGAGAGGGAGAGAGGGATTTAATGCTTTTTAGGGTCCCTGTGTCGAGGCAACCAAAAGCCGCAGGGGCGGGGAATTCATAGCCAGCCCAGCGGCTGCGAGCTCTGCTTTAAACTGACACAAAAAGCATTTTTTTTTCTGCTGGCCACCAGCCCTCCCCGCCACCGCCCGTCTCCCCCCACCCCCCCATCTCCTCCCCACTCCCCCCCCCACACACAAACACCTGCTTTCAGGCAGGCCACACCACCTCAGGGTACAGTATTTGCATCCAAAATACGGCTTAAGAAAGCTTTCTGCGTATGTTTAAGATGAGTGGCCTGTTGGCACAGTAGTTGAGGTATAGGGCTTGCAACTGCAAGGTTGTTGGTTCAAATCCTCAGTAAAGCCAGTCTTAAATTTTGGGGAAAATTCAAAAGCTAAAAAAAAAAAAAAATGGGGTCATCTAGCTCCTGGCCTTGTACCCCCTGCATGACAGCCAAAAGGCTGGGTTCTCAGGCCAATATGGGGTAAAATTAACCCCTAGGAAACTCCACTTTCTATGTGAACTATAATGGCCGTCTTTTGAAGTTAGGTGGCTAGATAGTGGAACCTATGACCCAAAAATTACCCAGGCTGTATAGAAAATAGTCTCAAAAACTCCTGGATATCCTGACCAGTTTCCATACATCAACCAATGGTTTAATCCAACAACCTCCCCCACCCCCCATGGCTGAAGCATTGCATAAAACAGGCTGGACTTCAGGTCATATTAGCCAGCCCAAAGAAGACCCCTGCAGAACGGGCCATTCTCCCAACCCCAGAAAAGAATCTAAAATTACCTACGCCTTACTTTAGACCCTCTGGACAGGGGTCTCAGCATCCCTCTCCAAACCGCACTGGTAGCCAGACCTTGTCCCCACTCCACACGCGTAGTAGGGTTCCATGCCCACCCAGGGTATTACCCCTCCAGGAGGTACCCCCAATGGAAGCAGGTAGCCGGGGCCACCCCTTCTTCATCCACATCTCCTTCTCCTCTAGTGATTTATGCAATTGGAAGGCTCAACACTCTCTGTTTTCTAAAAGGCCCCAGAAACTCACAGGGCTCCTAGACTCTGTCTTACAAACTTACCACCCCACCTGGGATGATTGTCAACAATTACTGCTAGTACTATTTACTGCAGGAGAAAGGGGCAGAATTAGACAGGAGGCCCATAAGGCCATCATTGGAATGGGGGAGGCTCGGTGGAGGACCACCAGGAGCAAATTAATAAAACTTTCCCTTCCACCCAACCCCAGTGGGATCCAAACACCTCGGCGGGTCTACAGGCTCTAAACGATTTTCACTGGTACCTACCAGAAGGCGTTAGGGGAGCGGCCCGCAAGCCCACTAACCTCTCCAAGGTAGGAACTGTAACTCAGGGCCCGCAGGAGTCGCCAGCTGCCTTTCTTGAGCGTCTACAAGACGCTTATCACACCTACACTCCTATTGACCCTGAAGCTCCAGAAAATCAGCAGGCCATCAATCTGGCTTTCATTTCCCAGTCAGCCGCAGATATTTAAAAAAAGTTACAGAAGTTAAAGGGATTCCAAAGAATAAATTTAACCCAATTGCTGGAAATTGCCCAAAAAGTTTTTAACAATAGGGACACTTCAAAAGCCAAACAAAGTAAAAGAGTTACTAAAGCAGTAATAGCAGCTCTTCAGGAAGCCTGAGTTATCCCACAGGGACAGGGAACCCCCCAGGGGAGCTCCCCGGGTCCCCGGCCCAGGCTAGGATGCCACCAGTGCACGTACTGCCAACAGGAAGGCCACTGGAAAAATAAGTGCCCAGAGAGGAGAAGGCGAGAAACAGCTCAGGGAAAGCTACCAAGGGCCATTCTCAATTTAAAAAGCCAGGATTAACAGGGCCGGGGCTCTTATTTATTAAGCCCCCAGGAGCCCAGGGTCACTTTAAAAATTGGAGGCACACCTGTCAGCTTCCTAGTCAACACCAGGGCAGCCCACTCAGTCCTTACTCAGCCTCTAGGACCACTATCCAGTAGAAAAACAATTATTCAGGGGGCCACAGGAAAAACCACAACAAGCCCTTGAACCACCAACCGATTCGTTGATCTGGAGAACAGCACCATCACCCACTCCTTTTTAGTCATTCCAGAGTGTCCGTACCCACTCCTAGGACGGGACTTACGCCACAAACTTCAAGCAAATATTTCTTCCGGTGAGAGTCAAGCTTGCCTCTCAATTCCTCCTCCCTTGGCATCAGGGCCACCTCAGCAAATCCTCATCACCTGTGCTCTGTCAGACGACTGTCTCTTGCAGGAAGCTTTATCCTCAGGGGCAGATCAACCTCCAACATCAAACCTCCTCCGCCAATTCCAAGAAAATGTACCCAGCGGGTGGGCCGAGACAAATTCCCCAGGCTTAGCAAGTCCCCATACCCCAGTTGTGGTCCAGCTATTGGCAACAGCAACCCCGGTCCAGATACAACAATATCCCATGTGCCAGGAAGCCGGACGGAAAATTGCTCCACATATAACCAGACTCCTAAAAAGAAGAATCCTTACTACTTGTAAGTCCCCCTGGAATACCCCCTTGCTCCCTGTCTTAAAACCAGGCACAAAGAACTATCGGCCTGTACAGGACTTAAGGGAGGTAAACAAACAAGTGAAAATTGTCCACCCTACAGTTCCAAGTCCATACACCCTCCTAAGTCTCTTAGATCCAGAACACCACCATCACACTGTCTTAAATCTCAAGAATGCATTCTTTTGCATCCCACTGGCCCCTGTTAGCCAGCCCATATTTGCTTTTAAATAAACTAACCCCGATACTGGGGTCTCGGGCCAACTCACTTGAACAAGACTGCCTCAGGGGTTCAAAAGCTCCCCTACTCTGTTAAATAAGGCACTTAGCCAAGATCTTTCTGCCTCCCAAGCTAAGTTCCCTGAGGGCACCCTACTCCCATACGTGGATAACTTACTCTTGGCTACAAAAACCCAAGAGACCTGTAAAAAAACCACCCAGTCATTATTAAAAACCCTACAGACTTTGGGTTACTGGGTCTCAGCTAAAAAGGCCCAACTCTGCCAACCGAAAGTTACTTACCTGGACTATATCATAAAGAAGGGCAACCGGGCACTGGCACCCAGCCGAGTCCAAGCAGTGCTGCAAATACCCACCCCCACCATGAAATGCCAAGTTCAAGAATTCCTTGGGGTGGTAAAGTACTGCAGGCTATGGATTTTTAACTTTGCCAAAATAGCCAAGCCCCGTATGCCTGCACTGGAGGAAATCAGCCCTTGACATGGGCAGAGATAGAGCAACAGGCTTTTGACAAGCTCAAGGCTGCCCTGACTACGGCCCCAGCCTTGGCCTTGCCAGACATCTCTAAACCCTTCCAGTTGTTTGTGCATGAAAAACAGGGAGTCGCTAAGGGGGTGGTCACCCAGACATTGGAACCATGGTCCCAGCCAGTTGCCTACCTTTCAAAAAAACTTAATCCCGTAGCCTCTGGGTGACCAGCTTGTCTGAGGTTGGTGGCAGCTACAGCCCTGTTAGTCAAGGAGGCGGACAGACTAACCTTGGGCAGGAGTTAAATTTAGTGGCACCCCACACGGTGGAGTCGCTACTCCATGGAGCTCCGGGAAAATGGATGTCAAATGCCCGCGTAGTTCAATAACAGGCCTTGCTTTTGGACCAGCCCCGCATAAAGTTTTTAAAGGCTGCAATTTTAAATCTCACCAGGCTACTACTGGACAGCGAGCCAGAGGAGCCCACACACGACTGCCAACAGACATGGACGTCCTCCACGCTGCTCGACCAGACCTCACCGACGTCTCCCACAGAACCCAGGGGAGGTACTGCATACGGATGGCAGCAGTTTCATGGTCAACGGAGTCAGGTATGCCAGAGCAGCCATAGTCACCCTAGAGCGGGTTGTCTGGGCCCAGGCTCTTCCACATGGAACCTCAGCCCAAAAGGCAGAGCTCATAGCTCTGACAAAGGCCTTAGACTGGGTGGAGGGAAAAACTGTCAACATCTACACAGATGGCCAGTATGCCTTTGCTACGGCCCATGCACATGGAGCCATTCATAAAGAAAGAGGACCACTTACCTCAGAGGGAAAAACCATCAAAATAAAGAAGAACTCCTAGCCCTATTAAAGGCTATATAAAAGCCCAAAGCAGTGGCATTAATACACTGCAAAGGACACGAGAAGGGAAATTCACCAGAGGCGAGGGGAAATGGGCGGCTGATCTACAAGCCAGACAAGCAGCCTTGGGACCAGTAAAACCTCTGACTCTTCTTAGAATTCTGCCAGCCCCAACCCTGCCCCCACCCCTACGTACTCACCTGATGAAGAAAACTTTGCTAAAGAACAAGGGGACACACAAGATTCCACAGGATAGTCAAATCTACCGGACACAAAAATTGTAGTCCCCGAGGCTCTAAAACAGGCCCTAGTTAAGAACACACACCAGGCCACTCACTTAGGACAGACCAAACTAACCGAGCTGCTGAAAGCCAAATACTGCATTCCCCACTTACATGAACTTATCAAAAAAATTACTACTCAGTGTAATGTATGTGGCCGAGTAAATCCAGGAGGGAACAGGTCTAGCCAGGTAAGAGTAAAACTCAAAGGGACTAGCCCTGGGAAGCAATGGAAAGTAAATTTCACTAAAATAAAACCCCCAGCAAATGGCTATAAATACGTATCTCCTAGTGTTTATAAATACGTTCTCTGGATGGGTCGAGGCCTTCCCCACTAGGTCCGAGACTGCTTGGGTGGTCACAAAAAAACTATTAGAGGACCTTGTTTCTTGGTTCAGCCTCCCTCTAACGCTGGGGTCAGACAATGGGCCCGCCTTTACTGCACAAATTTCTCAGGGCCTAGCCAAGGCCCTGGGTATATCCTGGAAATTACACTATGCCTATCGTCTCCAGAGTTCAGGGCAAGTCAAACGAATAAACTGGACCCTAAAAAACCCTGACAAAGTTTATCTTAGAGACCGGTGAAAACTGGGTCAGCCTGCTTCCTTTGTCCTCCTTCGTGTGCGATGCACACCCTATCAGAAAAGCTTCCCCACTTTTGAACTCATGTTCGGCAGGCCCCCTCCCTTACTCCCCAGACTTGCGGATACCGTGCATGCTGAAGTCCATAACTATACACTCCTTAAGTCCTTACAGGCGCTCCAGTCTGTTCAATCCCAGAAACACCAGCTCATTAAAAACACCCATCCCATCCCATTAAACAGACCAGCTGACACACCCCTTCCAGCCCAGAGGCTCTGTTCTTGTTAAAAAATTCGCCACCTCTGGCCTCACCCCCCGTTGGAAGGGACCCTACACGGCTATCCAAGTCACACCCACCACACTCAAGGTGGACGGACTAACAGCCTGGATTCATCACACCCAAGTTAAAACTGCCCCACCGGAAGGACAATGGAGCGTCAAACACTCATCCCCCGACTCACTAAAGCTAAGACTTGCGTGCTCTTCTCAATCACCACCCTCGCCACCCTAATCCATGCTGTAAATCCCTATAGCAAACCCCGCTTAGAACCTACCTACTATCAATGGGTCCTCACCGAGGGCTCCACTGGAAAATGTTAGTTCCTTAACCGGGAAAGAATCCACCCTAGTCAAGCTAACCCTGAAGTACATTCCAAAAACCCCCATTACCTTTTCCCTAAACCTCTGTGCCCTCCTGGGCCCGTTCCTAACCCCAAACGTAAATCCCAGGACAAAAAAATATTATAGCCGGGTGTGGCAGTGCAAGTGTAGAGCAACAACTTCAAACTTACGGATTATAGCTGTGCCCAGGATCCACCCCACAAAGAAAGTAAAACTTCAGAGACTTAAATTCTTTTGCCCCCATTAAAGTTATATAACTATCTCCACTATATCAGGGTACACCAAAAACATAGACTCCTTCATCTCTTTTGACCGAGACTCTCCCCCATCCCCATGCTACGCCGGGTCTTGTAACCCACTCAAGATAACTATAACTACCCCAGATGGTAAATGAACAACGGGGCAACCTAAGGTCTCAAAGTATATATGCATAAATAAGACATGGGAAACATCTTTACCATCCAGCGTAAAACCCCACCCAAACCCAACCGCCCTATAAAACCCATTGCCCAGATCATACAACAACAAGAGGCCCCCCTAAAAATACAAAGCCCCCTCATCCAGATAATCAATACCCCCCCAACTACCTTCCCCTACAACCCCAACTCGGCTCGAAGAGGACACAACCCTGTTAACCTTGTTGTCCTCAGCCCACCGCCTCCTCAACAAATCTAACACAGATTTTTAAAATAACTGTTGGCTGTCTAAACCCTCAACCACCGTTTATACAGGGTTAGCTTCCCAATTACCTGCCAACCTGTCCATTTCTTCATGCTCCCAATCCACACTCCATGTAACCCTGAGAGACAGAGAAGGGTCTGGGCACTGCTACCACTCCCCAAATTACACCCTTGCAGGTTCTCCCTATGGCTCTATTGTAACATCTCCCACAATGTAACCTTTAATGGTACAAACCTTTACTATCGGGCACCAGATTCCACTTGGTTAGCCTGCACTTTTGGCCTCACCAACTGCATTTTCACATACCAGTTCAGCAGCTCCGCTCCCATACTGTGCACCCCGGTACACATCCTCCCCAGAGTCAACATGTATAATGGCCAGCAGAAACTTAACCTCCTGGCGCCATCAGATACTATTACTGCCCAATAAAAGCAAGTCCCTATCATCAACCCTCTACTAGTTAAATTAAGTATTGCTGGCTCCACCGCAGTTAAAATATCAGCTCTTATAACTGGGGACCAAAATTTTAAAACTCCCTCTCAGCACATAAATACTAATTTAAGCCACTTAAAAAACTCCATTTCCCAACTCACTAATCAGGTTAAGTCTTTGGCTAAAATAGTCCTCCCAACTAGGCAAGGACCAAATTTGCTATTCTTAAAACAAGGGGGTTAATGTGCTGTCCTTAATAAACAATGTTGCTTCTATGCTAATAAGTCAGGCCTCATCCACAAAAGCCTCTCCCTGGTCAAACAAAATCTCAAAACCAGAAAACAACTTCATGAGGCTTCAAAAAGTTAGTATCAAAAAATGTTTTTCTGGTCCCCTTGGCGCACTTCCCTCCTTACAGGCCTGGTGGGACCTCTGGCCATACTCCTACTGGGACTCATGTTCGGCCCCTGCCTCCTAAACCAACTGCTCAGGTTCATGAAATCTAGGGTAGACTCCGTAAAATCAATAATATTAAAGTCTCAATAGGAGCCCTTAAAACAAACAAACAATACTAATCTGTTAAAGAAATCAATAATTTAATTCCTGTAAATAAAACAAGGGGAGAATGTGACACGGTAATCTCCCTGTAAACTGCACACCTCAACCATGCCTCGGCTTTTCCGTTGAAACTGCTCTCTGTAACCCTAATGTGACAGGCAAGCCGTCCAAACCGACGCCAGCTTGTCCCCTGCGATTTGTAATAAGTAACTAAGGTCTGTAATTTCCACCCTACCCAGACAATGTGTAAACTAACGCTCATCTTAACTTCTGTAAACCACTTAAGTAACAATAAGAATGTTCAGAGTCCCCTGGCCCTGGGAATGTCCGAAGCCCCTCACCCTCATCTCCACCCAGGAGGTGATTTACGGAATATCCAAAGTCCACTGGCCCTCGGAATATCTGAAGCCCCTCACCCCCACCCCCACCCCTCACCCTCACCCCCGAGGTGGTTCACAGACATAAAAGGTCTTAACAACCTCCTTTCAGGGCCACGGGTTAAAGAGAAGCGAGTCCTCCGCGGCCGCCAGCAATAAAAACCCTGCAATGTAGCATACTTTTGTCTTAGTGTTAACTTTCTATGCTCGATCCAGTACAACAGTACAATTGTCAGCTCCATCCTTCAGTGAGGAAACTGAGGCTCTGGGAGCTTAAGTTACTCACCAAAATCACACAGGCATGACCCATAACCAGCTCTTGACTCTTGGCCTTCCCCACTCTCAACTCTTTAAAATCACCCTCTCCAAAATGGAAGCATTCCCCAATTATCCAAGGCAGAGGTGATGATCAACCTCTCTCTGTTCCCAAGATTAAAAGCCATTAGCAAATAAAAACATGTTTGCATCTCCTGTGTGTGTTTGAATTTTCATTCCATACCAGGGGGAAAGTCTAACTGAGGATTTCCAATACTAATAATAGACTGTAATAAAAGTAAAAGGTTTTTGCTTAACAATTACCTATTGGAAGAGCTATCTAAACCCTAATGCAATCTGTGAATATTGTGCACTGATTCTCCCTGCTATGCATTAACTGGTAAACTGATACAACCCAGAAACAGGCTACGTCAAAGGCCTGAAAGACGTTCCCTGGCCCTATGGGAAGAACACAGCTGTTTATAAGCACCCACCACGTGCCAGGCCATCCATTAACATTAGACTTCTCAACAACCCTTCCCAACAAAGTAGGCAAAGTCGCTCCATTTTTCTAAAGGGGATGGGGGGACAGAAGGCCTTCTCTGACAAGTCCAAGGTCACACAGCTAGTAAATGGCAAAGCCAGGAATGCAACCTGGCTGTAAAGTTCCAAAACTCTGCTTTTCTTCCTAAATCAACATGCCTAGAACAGAATGCTCCATCTGCACCTGCAGCCTGAAATGCAGACGTATTTAACATCCTCAACCAAAACGCCTGTTTTCACTTACCCTAAGCAGAAACCTGATGGTTGATTGTTAACTCTAAAGATAGGAATTAGGTGGTCCCAAATAAGAGTTTTTGTGCATTTTCAAATGTGGAAAGGTATTAAACACAATAAATCAATGCACAATAGGACATCGCTAGAGAGTAATTTGTGTAGCTGAGGCACTGGAATTTTTTCCATCTATCATTCAAACCATTGTTAGACATTTTCTAAAGCCTTCATACGAAGCAGCACTTGGGAGAATCAAGCCTTTAGAAAGAACGAAATTGATTTTCCTATGAGAAAAAAAATAATAGTCATGAGAAAGCAACAATCAAACATGGATGAATGAAGATGAAAAAAAACTACTTTTTACAAGTCTAGAAATCCGTCAAGACCCAGACATCTGTCACCTCCTGAACAGATTTTAATTTTAGAGTTTGCTTCCTTTACATTTTTTTCTCTTCTCTTCCTATGGTTAGATGGATGTAACATATGCTTAGGGTTTCACAAATTTAGTTTCGGTAGGCGTGATGTCTAAGAATATCTGAAGCTATTTTCAAGACATTTTGTGATAATGCTTGTCTTGTTCTTTGAAATCTAGTCTTTGGATTTCTTCTTACATGGAGTAAGTGGCTGAGACTTCGTGGCTTCTCTTGCGATATCAAAAGATTCTTGAGAGATAAACTGACCCAAGCATGGGCATAATTTCCAACAGCCTTTATCTCCACAGAGAAATCCTGCAGTGCCACAGAGCATGGTGGCTCATACCTGTAATCCTAGCACTTTGGGAGTCCAAAATGAGAGGATCGCTTGGGCCCATGAGTTCAAGACCAGCCTGAGCCACATAGTGAGATCATGTTTCTACAGAAAAAAAAAAAATTTTAATTAACTGGGTGTGACGATGCACACTTGTGGTCCCAGCTACTCAGGGGGCTGAAGCAGGGGATCGCCTGAGCCCAGGAGTTTAGGGCTATAGTGAGCTATGATCACACCACTGCACTCCAGCCCGGGAGACAGAGCGAGATCCTGTCTCTAAGAATAAATCAGTAATCCTCCAGTGCAGCTTTTCTCAAACTGCAAATGCACCTGTGAATCCCCTGGAGATCTTGTTGATAAAATGCAGATTCTGATCCAGTGGGGCTTAGGTGGGGCCCGAGACTCTGCATTTCCAACAGTTCCAGGCCAGGCTGAGGCTGCTGGCGCACAGGCCACACCTTCAGTGTTACTCTGTATTTGCCTTCCATCTCCACCCAGATCCATTCTCTGCCCACTCTGGGCCAGGGAGGCTAAGCCCTGCAGTCCCCAGCACCTGCACAGCTTGGCACCTGGCCTGCAGATGAGCTGGGACCTGAGAGGCAGCCATGGAGATCAAAGGGAGGCAGGAGAGAGCGGTCAGTGCATTTGGCCCTTCCTGCTCAGCCCTTCTGGGGCTGCAGCTCTGGAAGGGGAGTCCTTCTCCATGGCTCCAGGTCTTTCCAGATTCCGGAACACTGTTCCTCCATCCCTACATCCTTTTTTTTTTTTTTTTCCACATAATCTCACTCTATCATCCAGACCGGAGTGCAGTGGCGCAATCTCTGCTCACTGCAATCTCCAACTCCCAGGTTCAAGTGATTCTCCTGCCTCAACCTCTCAAGTAGCTGGGATTACAGGTGTGTGCCACCACGCCCGGCTAATTTCTGTATTTTTAGTAGAGATGGGGTTACACCATGTTGGTCAGGCTGATCTCAAACTCCTGACCTCAGGTAATCCTCCCACCTTGGCCTCCCAAAGTACTGGGATTACAGGCGTGAGCCAAGGTCACTGGCCTACCATCCATGTATCCTTAATGCCTAAGGGTACTGTGATAAGCCAAACAATGGGCCCCCAAAGATGTCCACATCCTCATCCCTGGAACCTGTGAATATGTTACTTTACAAAGGAACTTTGTGGATGGGATTAAGTCAAGGATCTGGAGATGGGGCGATTGTTCTGGATTATCTGCTGGGCCTGATACATCAGGGTGTTAATAATTGGGAGAGGAGGCAAGAATGTCCAGAATGAGAAATGCAACGTGACAAAGGCTTGACTGGCCATCGCCGGCTTTGAAGATGGATGAAGGCGTCACAAGCTAAGAAATGTGGGGGGCCTCAAGAAGCTGGAAAAGGCAAGACAGCAGATTCTCCCCTAGAGCCCCGGAAGGAGAGCACCCGGAAAGCACCCCTGCTAATGCAGGTGCCAATGAGTTTCCTCCCGATGCAGGTCCCTGCTGTTTCACCCTCCCACGCTGCGCCCCTGAACCCTACTTACTTCCATAAACAGTCCCTTTTTAAAATTCTCTTCAGTTCAACCCTTGTGAGGGGACTTTCTTTTCTTCCCAGATCCTGGCAGATACATGGCACCTCAGATACAACTTAAAAATTTTCAAGACTGAACCCATCATCTCTTCCCCAAATCCACTCTTCCTTTTGGCTGCCTAGTCCTCAAACATGCCCAAGCTGATTCCTGCAGCAGGACATTTGCACATCCGCTTACCTGAAATGCTCTCCCTCCAGATCCTCACGTGGCTCACTTCTGTAGAATGATGTCATTCACTCATTTGTTCACTCACCCATTCATACCTACCCTGGGCCAGGCACTGTTCTAGGCACTGGGGATACTGCAATAAACAAGGCCAACTCCCTGTCCTCTTGGAGCTGGCATTCTCATGGAAAAGACAGACGATCCATCAACAAATAAAAAGGGCTTTCTAGGCCAGGCGCGGTGGGTCATGCCTGTAGTCCCAGCACTTTGGGAGGCTGAGGCAGGTGGATCTCTTGAGGTCAAGAGTTTGAGACAGGTCCGGCCAACATGGCAAAACCCTGTCTCTACTAAAAATACAAAAATTAGCCAGGTGTGGTGGCGCACTCTTGTGGACCCAGCTACTTGGGAGGCTGAGGCATGAGAATCGCTTGAACCCAGGAGTCAGAGGCTGCAGTGAGCCAAGATCGTGCCACTGCACTCCAGCCTGGGCTACAGAGTGAGACCCTGTCTCAAAGAGAAAAGTGTTTGGCGAATATAGTTGGGTGAATGACAACACGGTGAGGTAGCACGCAATGCTTCTCAATCAGGGGAAACACTAAGGGCCTCCAGGGGAATTTGGCAATGTGTGGGATGTGTGTGGTTGTCACAGTGACTATGAACAGTATTGACATTTACTGGGTGGAGGCCCAGGAAGCAAAAAATCCTAAAATATACCAGAGTCCCATGCAGTGAAGTTCTGCCCACTCCAAAAGGCCAGGAAAGAATTTGGCTTTTATTCTGAATGTGATGGGAGGCCCCTGGGGAGGAGGAGAGCAGCAGAATCCCATGTGCATGTTTGACAGACGGCTCTATGGGGAGAACGGCAGGAGCGGGGTCTGAGTGGAAGTAGGGAGGCCGCATAAGATTTTAGCAGATCAGGGCTGGGTGTGGTGGCTCACACCTGTAACCCCAGCACTTTGGGAGTCCCAGGCAGGCAGATTACGAAGTCAGGAGATTGAGACCATCCTGGCTAACACGGTGAAACCCCATCCCTACTAAAAACACAAAAAATTAGCCAGGCATGGTGGCATGTGACTTCAGGAGGGTGAGGCAGGGGAATTGCTTGAACAAGGAGGTGGAGGTTGCTGTGAGCCGAGATCATGCCATTGCACTCCAGCGTGGGTGACAGAGCGAGACTCCATCTCAAAAAAAAGAAAAAGAAAGAAAGAGAAAGAAAGGGAAAGAGAAAGGGAAAGGAAGGGAGGGGAGGGGAGGGGAGAGGAGGAGAGGGAAAAGAGGAGAAAAAATTAGGAAAGCCAGAGGGGCTGAGGAGTGATAGCTAAATGGAATGGGGTTTTGTTTGGGGATAACACAAGTGTTCTAAGATGGACTGTAGGCCAGGCAAGGTAGCTCATGCCTGTAATCCCAGCATTTTGGGAGGCCAAAGTGGGTGGATCACTTGAGGTCAGGAGTTGGAGACCAGCCTGGGCAACATGGTGAAACCCCATCTCTACCAAAAATACAAAATATGTGTATATATTAGCCCAGTGTGGTGACAGTTGCCTGTAGTCCCAGCTACTCTGGAGACTGAGGCAGAAGAATTGCTTGAACCTGGGAGGTGGAGGTTGCAATGAGCTTAGATTGTGCCACTGCACTCCAGCCTGGGCAACAGAGTGAGACACTGTCTCAAAATAAATAAATAAATAATAAAATGGACTGTGGGCCAGCCAAGGGGGCTCATGCCTGTAATCCCAGCACTTTGGGAAGCAGAGGCAGGAGGATTGCCTCAGGCCAAGAGACCAGCCTGGGCAACATAGTGAGACCCTATCTCTTAAAAAAAATATTTTAATTAGCCAAGCATGATGGCATGTGCCTGTGGAGGCTGAGACAGGAGGATCGCTTGAAAGATCATCTAAAAAAAAAAATCCTTGGGAGTCAGTGGGGTGAAAAGGAAAGGGTATGGTATGGACTTTGAGGTCAGACAGACTCAGCTGGGCTCATATCCTAGCTTCTTTACTTACTAGGTGAGTAGGACCTTAGACTGTCAGTGAATCGTGAATGTCCCTGAACCTCAGTTCACTGATCTGTAAAGTGGAGATCCGCCATTCATCCTACAGCTACCAAGCACCTGTGGTCCAGGCCCCATGCTAGGCACTGGGTACATGGTAGTGAGCAGCACAGACAGCAGAAGGACCTACCTTCTGTATGTATTAGTCCATTTTCACAGTGCTATGGAGAATTACCAGAGACTGGATAATTTATAAAGAGGTTTAATCGACTCACAGTCTGCATGGCTGGGGAGGCCTCAGGAAACCTACAATCATGGCAGAAGGCAGAAGGCAAAAGGGAAGCAAGGCATGTCTTACATGGTGGCAGGAGAGAGAGTGCCAAGGGGAAAGTGCCACACTTTTTTTTTTTTTGAGACAGAGTCTCACTTTGTGGTCCAGGCTGGAGTGCAGTGGCATGATCTTGGCTCACTGCAACCTCTGTCTCCCGGGTTCAAGCAATCCTCCTGCCTCAGTCTCCCAAGTAGCTGGGATTACAGGTGCTCATCACTATGCCCTGCTAATTTTCATATTTTTAGTAGAGACGGGGTTTCACCATACTGGTCAAGCTGGTCTTGAACTCCTGACCTTAGGTGATCCACCTGCCTCGGCCTCTCAAAGTGCTGGGATTACAGGTGTGAGCCACGGCACCCAGCCCGTGCCACACTTTTAAATCATCAGATCTCAGGAGAACTCACTCACTATCATGAGAACAGAATAAAGGAAACTGCCCCCATGATCCAGTCACCTCCCTTCCAGGTCCCTCCCTCAACATGTGAGGATTACAAATCAAGAAGAGATTTGGGTGGGGACACAGAGCCAATCATATCATTATAGAAACCCGCTGACAGTGTTTGGCACCTAATTGTCAGTAAATGAAAGGAATTATCATTTTCTTCAGTCCTGCATCTTAACGTCTTGATCCAGGCCCCCTCCACAGCTGTTTTGTTTTCCATCTTGTATTCAGCCTGTTTGTGTCTCCTCTCCCTAAATGGGCCATAAAGTTAGTTCAGACAGGGATTAGGACAAGTATTTATCCTGTATTCCCCAGAGCACCTAGTCCAATGCCTGGCTCATTGTACTCATTAAAAAGTGTTTGAATGGGTGCATACATGCATACTGTTGGGTAATTTTGAATATGAAAGAAAATCTGAAATAATTATCAACTCACTCACCAAGATAATTAAGACTGGTCTCACGTGGTGGCTGAGACAAGGTTTCGGCATCCTGGGGGTGCTGAGAATGCATTTTGCAGGCTGTTCTCCTCATCCCCACAGAGAATTATAATCACAGCAAGGCCAAAACTGCAACTCATGCACAGAGGTAGCTATCCCACCTGCACCTATAGAAGGGCATTGATTGAAATTGATCCTACTGACTCAGTAAGTCCAGTCATGGCAGTCAGTTGTAAAGAATTAAATATCTTGGCTGGGCACAGTGACTCACACCTGTAATCCCAACACTCTGGCAGGCCAAGACAGGAGGATTGCTTGAGCCCAGGCATTCAAAACTAGCCTGGGGAACATAGTGGGACACCAGCTCCACAAAAAAAATTTAAAAAATAGCCGTGTTTGGTGGCACATCCCTGTAGTCCCAGCTACTGGGGAGGCTGAGGTGGGAGGATCATTTGAGCCTGGCAGGCGGAGGTTGCAGTGAGCCAAGATCGCATCACTGCACTCCAGCCTAAGCAACAGAGTGAGACCCTGTCTGAAATAATAATAAAACATCTTCACTCCTAAACTCAAAACAAGACAGACCCAGAACTCAATAAGCAAAAATGCCAAAAGACATAAAGAATTCCCAGAAAAACACATGAAAACCACATAGAAAGACGCTCAGTCTCACTTTAAAGAAAAATGCTGCTGGGTGCAGTGGCTCACCTCTATGATCCCACCACTTTGGAAGGCCAAGGTGGGCAGATGGCTTAAGCTCAGAAGTTCGAGACCAGCCTGTCTAACATAGCAAAACCCTTTCTCTACAAAACATACAAAAATAGCCAGATGTGGTGGTTTACACCTGCTATCTCATCTACTCAGGAGACTGAGGCACGAAAATTGCTTGAATCTGGGAGGCAGAGGTTGCAGAGCCAAGATCGAACCACTGCACTCCAGCCTGGGTGACACAGCAAGACTCTAAGTCAGAGAGAGAGAGAGAGAGAGAGCTGGGCGCGGTGGCTCACTGGCTTGCACCTGTAATTCCAGGTGAGATACAATGAAGTGTGTTACTATTTCTGATAAGAGCGTCACCATCTTTCATTCTTTTTATTTATTTTTATTTTTGAGATGGAGTCTCAGTCTGTCGCCCAGGCTGGAGTGCAGTGGCACGATCTCGGCTCACTGCAACCTCTGCCTCCCGAGTAGCTGGGACCATAGGTGCATGCCACCACGCCCAGCTAATTTTCGTATTTTTAGTGGAGACGGGGTTTCACTATGTTGGCCAAGCTGATCTTGAACTCCTGACCTCATGATCCACCTGCCTCAGGCTCCCAAAGTGCTGGAATCACAGGCGTGAGCCACCGCCCCTGGCCACAAGTTCATTTCTAGAAAGAGAACCTGAGAAGAAGCTGACCTTGACTGAATCCACAAGAAAACAAAGAGATTTTAAGCCCCGCATGCATTAGGTATTTGTCCTAATGCTCTCCCACCCCTTGATGGGTGCAGCAAACCACCATGTCGCATATATACCTATATAACAAACCTGCATGTTTTGTACATGTACCCCAGAACTTAAGGTAGAAAAAGAGAGAGAGAGAGAGAACAAGAGGAGAGTTACTCCAGCCTAGAATCAATTTCTCTCTTCCAAGACACACATACGCACACACAGAAGTTCCCCACGGGTCAAGAATAAGCTCAGGTGACCTCTGATTTCTAACCTCGTTATAATTCACTCCTCTATGCAACCATCAATTTAAGTTAATAATCTTATCACTGTCTATTCTAATCAAATGACAAATGTTTGAATATACATGTCTCCCTGACTACACTCAGCTCCTCAGACCCACGAACTCTTATTCATCTGCTTCCCCGGTGCCTAACCCTTATTGGGGATTTACTCTTTGCCAAGTGGAAGAAAATGTGGATCCCAAACAAACTCTGTTGAGTGCAGTGTAACTATGGGCTCACCAGGCAGAAATGACATCATGTCTGCACATCACATACAATTCCTTTGTCCATAAACCACTCCCAGATCTTGCATACAGTAATGCTTTCTTGTAACCCTTATTTCAGTAGCTATATTTTGTATCATGATGGTATTTGAGGTTTTAAATGGCCTGACCTCCAGTGACACGAATATCATCAGCTCACTCGTAACTGTTACCATGGACAAAATAGCAAATCTCTATTTCTGGCTCATCGCATTTGCAAATTCAGTGTTTGGAAACTTAGCTAGTTCCCAGGGGAAAAATAACAGCACCTGAAATCAAACCATTCACTTGAGGTCACAGTCCCCTTTTTGCTACCCCTTCATAGAGGTAAAGAGAAAAGAGGGATGAAAGCATATGCCATGAGCCAACAGTAGACCCTCACACCAGAAGCTTTTTCATTCACAAGATGACCACAGTGAATAAACCCTTATCTCTCTGTTCACGTGATTTGTTGCAGGGATTCTGGCTCTGCCTTTAACATACTCATTTTCTTGGGAACTCTTCTTGTGAGTAGAAACTATACAAACAGAAGGTCCTTTTCATGGCATGCCTAAGGACAAGATATTGTCACTGCCTTCTAACGTGCAACCCAGGACCTCGAGAAGGATTATGTGGAATGAGGCATCTCCAGGCCAATACCGTGTACAGCACCTCTTCTGAAACCCAAGGGTAATCAACAAACAATACCATGGTTTGAAAACCCAGTCGTAATCCTCCAGAGTGATACACACTCTTAGTCCCTCTTCACGGCTCTCATCCTGTTTGGAACTAGTTGTCTCACTTCTGTCTTTTGTCTTGGCTCTGGGCAGCTTCAGGAACTGCCTTCTGACTTGTGCAAGGCCTAGCTCCTTGCTAGACAAGCACCTATCAGGTTGTTTTGGGCAGTGCTCTTCCACAGGGCATAGGTGTAGTGCCTGGCATCTTGAAGGTGCTCTGTATTTTTTTTTTTTTTTTTTTTTTGGGGACGGGGTTTCGCTCTTGTTACCCAGGCTGGAGTGCAATGGCGCGATCTCGGCTCACCGCAACCTCCGCCTCCTGGGTTCAGGCAATTCTCCTGCCTCAGCCTCCTGAGTAGCTGGGATTACAGGCACGCACCACCATGCCCAGCTAATTTTTTGTAGTTTTAGTAGGGACGGGGTTTCACCGTGTTGACCAGGATGGTCTTGATCTCTTGACCTCGTGATCCACCCGCCTCGGCCTCCCAAAGTGCTGGGATTACAGGCTTGAGCCACCGCGCCCGGCCGGTGCTCTGTATTTTTATTTATTTATTTTTGAGACAGA